AATGACCGGTGGAGATAAGCTGCCCTTTGATGTAGATCTGCACTAAGGACCTTACAATAATTCTCTTAACAATCATCATAGTTATGAAGTGGAAAGTCATGCAAAATTATTTGTCCTCAGTACTAGGTGGATAGAACTACATGGCACAAATAGCATACCACTTATCGGAAGCACAAATGTCGGGCAGAAAGTGAGTCTTGGAACTATCCAATCACAACTATCTCTGGTCTGCAAGAATATATTGTCAAACACTTTTGTAACACTAATTATTTGACTATCTGAGTCACTGGCGGTCACATTGATATTTGACTTGATCTAGTTTGCGTTGAATGAACTTCGGCCCAAACTAAAGCCTTATCTCTCCTTCTTCCCCCTTAAAATTTTTAAGGCCTACTTAATGCCATTGCTTTTAAATACAAAGTCTCACGGCATCGTAGATATCGATATGGGTTAGATAAGGCAACAGTAATTCACTTGCGGTGGGACAATAAGGGTGATTTCTGCCAATGTCGGTGAAATACTATATGTGACCACCTCAACGTCTGGTGGTCACTTACTTATACTTATACTTATACTTATACGTTAAGTCCTTGCACGCATGGGCTGACCTTCGGGACATGCCAAGAACCTAGCCACAACAGAAAGTTTGAAAATGCTATTTGCGTTCCTCAACACTTCATCGAAAATTTTCGTTGCAAAGCTATCGATTCTACTCGCATAAGGTAAAATTAAAGTCAAATAGAAGCTAATCTGCAACTTCCTTTTCGGCTTATTTACACTCGATAAGATTCGACTAGCAGTCCATGACGATTAGACCTCGTGGCAGGACGGAATTAAACAGCATACCTTATTTCCGTTGTACTCGTTGCTTGTGAAGCTACAGCTTCGCTGTCACTGACGGATGTCCATGGTTGAAGCTGTAGTGCCCTGAGACTTCCCACAGGGCAGAAGAAGATATTAAAGGAAACTGAATGCATGTATTCCAGAGGGAACAAAGGGATGAAACATGAGCTTAGTCCAAAGGCCAGCTCACGCGTACAAGACCCAGGCGTATCTTAAAGCAACAGTTAGACATCAGGTGGCCCCAAACAAAAGTACTACAAAAGTATTTGCCTAATACGTTTAAATGCGCACGAAACCTTATGCTCAATTGGCTTTGGAAGATTTGTCAGTGATATTATATAATCGACGTTGATTTTGATAATTTGGCAAATGGAATTGTTGAACCAGATTTGTATTATTAGTGCTAGGTAGTTTATGATGACAAACAAGTATAAAAAATATATACAGAGCAAGTGCCCCACAGTGGGAAAGTTGTGTGATACGCAGACTGTAGGTTTACACTATTTTCCGATTAGATGCTCTTCAACATGTTGTACGAGGAATCTAAAGCCTAAGCCATATCGACAGTCCTAGAGTAGCATGCCTTATTCTGTTGTCAAAGTGATCTCAGACAGCTACAACGCAACAGAACTTCAGCAGGCATTTGGAATGGGGGTCATGCATTCCTGTACGACTGAAGGAATTGGTCTTGTAAGGCAAAATGGTACAAGAGTCTGCAAAAGTATGTGAAAGATGCTCCTTTTCGCGAAGATTGGCAGTAAAACAAGTTATATTTTAAGTTTATCATCTTTGTTTTTCTGCCTCGGTCTGCCAAAACAAATTTAGTTCGCGCGTTACAATCGGTGTACGTGTCGAGGAATTTCCTTATTTTGTTGTTGGTTTTGTCAGTGTAAAGGTATCAGTGTCTAAAAAGAGCTGTTAAAAGCACACCATTTTGGCTTAAGGCTGTTAATGGTGAGCACTACATTCTCCCACGTTTGCTTTACTTTTGGGTATGTTCTCCCTTGAATTGTTCTGGGATTGCTCACCCTTCTTGTGGATTTATTTCCGAAATGCCTATCCACTTTTCATTACTGCTAATGGCCTTTTACTTGTTAATTTTATGCTTCAAAACGCAGTTATTTTTGACACTTCTGTGCCTTATAATTTGCCTGTATTGTGCTCATGGATTTCCTTTAGGATGGACTTTTTAGCTGACACATCAAATTGCGGGAAGTGGTATCAACGGTGTACTTTATTTGAATTGAAGCCATGCTCAAAAGAAGTATTTCTTTTAAAAGTGTCTCACAGATATTTTAGGGTTCTGTTACCTGGGAAAAGATCTTCGCAGGGAATTTGGATGATGTTTATTACTTTGCTGACAGACACAACTTTTGGGTTTTTCATCAGGACAATACAATGTGTTTGCAAATCTATTATCGTGAGTGGAATATTTCCAATTACTTGAATAGTAGAAGAAATTGTTCGGATATATGAGCTGTCCGAGTTAAATGCCATACTTATCGAAAGTAGTAACGGCAAGCTTGAAGTCTTTTTACTTGGCACAGCGGAATTGCTGCCGCTTCCGGTAAGGTTCGGCCTTTTTCTCATGCGCCTAGATAACTCTGGCGAATATTGTCGACGTCAAAGCCAAATCTTGGGCAAATGGTAGTTACTAGTTTGTGATTGATATCGGATGTAGGCGCTGTTGATGTTATGATCTATGCAGCTGACTCAAACCTGATTGTCTTGTCTGACATTACACGAGATTCTTTTCACAATGCTGTCTTAAACAAAGACATCGAGTTTTTTACAAACAGACTGCGATATGCGGTCTTGAAGGAAAGTGCGTCTTCATGCGCTTTGTTGTGCCCTGCGGAGCGATCTGAAATAGCTGTTGCTATTTCGTTTGTTAGTCTCATTTGGATTCAGTTTATCACATTTTTAGAATCCATTTATGAAAGTATCAGCATTTGAGAATTCGTTGGCAAACATGTACTTCGAGCAGGATATCCTATGCTTCATACATCTGGTGGAGCAGTCCTCGTCCTTCATTAAGTATGAATATATAGGACTAGGATATTTGGCAGTACTTACAGACCAGGTTTGTGAGTAGTTTTGTAATGGCTGTATTCGCAGCATCTGATGCTTATCTTTAATGCAATTGCTCGCGTTTGTTCTGGAGTGCTATGCGACAGTCCCGATGTCATTGACTTCGCAATTAATCTAAGAAAAGAGGAAGGAAAATCTATGTCATTCGATTTGTATACTCTTCACACTACTTCGAGTGGTCTTCTCCTAAGAGTGCAGGCTTATCCTTCGTAAGCTACAAACTGATTAGCAATTACCATCACTTTTATCGAACCTTTTGTCACCGATCATAGCGTTCTGTGATTTGACTTCATTGTTGCCGCAGGCGGAACTTACGTCTTTCCATACCACTTACGGCGCCCCACACGGTGGTGTTTTCTCGGAACCATTTAAGCTCTGAACCACTCTTGGTAGAACAGGAGGGGGCACATCTTAAGGTTTCCACTTTTTTGCTAATGGACCTCACTGACCAGTACGTTGGCTTGGTATTTTTCTTCCGTGGTTGACAACTTTCAGTTTAAAGATCATGGTGCGGGAGAAGAAGTTTGCTGAGGCCAGACAATTTGCAATGATGTATGGCTTAAGCACCTGCGTAAGTGACTGTCAGTTCATTTGTCTTAAGCGACTAATCTCTCACCTGTCTGAGAATGCATTCTTCCCCTTAGGTCATTGCGCAGTTTGAGTTTCAGGCTTGTCTTGAAACTTTGGTGGCAAATACTGGTAAACTCAGCCACTTTCTTAACGATGAAACCAGCAATGCAGTGATTTTCGATTGCGATTCAATTTGTGAACGAGCCATCAAACTTCTTGATGATTTCACAGTAGGTTTACACTATGTTGGGCACAATTTATGAAGCCGTCTTTGTGCTTTTCCATAAACTTATCTGCTGCTATTGTCTTAATTCGTTGCAGAACCGATTCTAATTAGGTGCACTAACTTCGATAATTATTTAATCTTTTCGGTAACAAGCACTCATCGGCCAGTTTTGATTCCTTTGCTCACCCTACTTTCTCCTTTAAGGTGGTAGAGTCGTCAGAAGCAATTATCCGTTTAACGAAAAGTGGGATTATACCCTCTGTGGGTAAACAATATCAACTCTTGGAAAGAGTTCTTGATAAGGTACGCTATGCTATGTGTTTTGAACACGATTAACTCGATGTGCTTTGTTCTTCCAGCTGCCACAGCATGATGAAGCACGAGAGGTTCGATATCGCATATTATAACTTTACTTATGGTAGGCCGTTGCGGTTACACTAAAAGGACTGGAAGCATTTCGTAAGCTCAAAAAGTACCGAGACCTCAGGTATCTATCACGAACTCCATTCCTGCTTTCGATGTGACATTATCTATTGTGCAATTTTTCAGCTGCATTTCATGGAATAAGTTTATTTCATCCGGGATAACGACCGAGTTTGCTGAATGTTTTACCAAGTGGGAGGACTACAGTGATGGCTTCACAATTTGGGGCATGTTCAAGGTTGGATAAACGTATTTGCTCCTATTTTTTGTTTAAAGCTTAGCAATATGGTAACTAATATCTCAGAGGCCTTACCAAATTTTTTGCGCTTTTTAATGCAGTATTATTGTTATGACATTGGTTGTTAATTAATTAAATGGAGCGTCATGATTGGAATTTACCTACAAGCAGGCTGTAATTTTGATCTCATGCTTGCGGCTCTTTGGCTCATATTCGTATTGCAGCATGTCACATCCGATACCAAATCAGAACAGCTAACACTGCTTGAAATGTCAAATGACTAGAACGAGCACGTTATGGCTATTGAGTTCCTGTACAAAACAACGGATTTTCAGGTATTTGCTTGAGTGGCCATTTCCTCTTGGCTTTTAGACAGATTTGACGTTGAATTTGACCGTCCATTCGGTCGCTGCTTTTCTCTCCATCCTCTCACTCAAGCCGCTCACATCCGATTGCGTAAACCTCGAACTTGAACGGCTTTTGGTGGAGACTGAAAACGCATTGCATACTTGGTTAGGTACTGAGTTGGTTCCCGCATTAGTCACCTATTGCCCTTCTGCTTTGGTGAGTGGGCCTTATTAATTGTACTGAATCGGTTCCCGTATTTTTATTAAACCTGAGTGGTTTATTTCCACCCAGTATTTAGACGCGTGCGTAACTTTCGACCATATTTCATCACTGATAGTGTGATCCACCCATTCCCCATTGTAGCCACTCTTATCTAAGTGGTTGGTAAATCGCATAAGACAACTTGAGGGTTTTGTCAAGAGCTCTGGCGTCCACTGCTGTTTTGATTGGCCGGAGGCTGCCATTAGCTGGTCAGAGGTGCTGTTGAGCAGGGCTAAACCAGCGACCTGTGGGGATGAAATGACATCGCAAGAAGAGGTGGACTTTCTTGTCTCCGGTCTTTATAGTCGCAGTGCGGAGGTTGATCCTTTCTACGATCTTCGTTGCCTTTTGTTTGATCTGGTCACTATCAAGAACCTTGTTGATAAGTATGTCTTAGCATTCCCATTTGATCTTTTCGGATATCAATAATTGAAAGATGAAATTAATCGCTCCAAGCTTCTGCAGTTCGGCCTATATTAATTACTGGTCATTTTATTTCACCGGTATACTTGCGATTGCCATGTCTTTCTCTTTTTTGTTCTCGAATTTCTTGATTAATATATTATGCATTCATTCTATGCAGTTACAGGAATTACCAATGAAATTCGCTAGTAATTCCCACAATTTTGTTGCTAGGCCATGATTTTTCGTTCCTAAATAGACAACAATTTGACAATCTAACACTACTTTAGGTATAACTTTAAGCTGGATCTGGCCAGCTGCAGGACCATGGATGCAAAGTCGATTGCTTTCAAGCTTATAGACGTCGCTGTTACTTCATATAGTGCTTGTGATAAAACCACCATTTTGATGGATCGGGTGATCAACTTCATGGGGGTCAGTATCGGGCGCATTTCCATTTTTATTCCTTTAAAAGCTCTCAAGTATTTTTATATTCATAGTAGTATTTTGTATCTCAAATCCAAAATACAATAACAAGGTACCATTCAGTGCGTACACCTAGCAGTTTGGTTTTAGTGTAAATATCTAAAGGCTCCTTCTCGGAACCACGACTTATCATCATCTTGGTTACATTTTGATTTCACTTGTATCAAATGCTATTGTTACGTCTTTCCTGGTACATAATGCCGTTTTTAAGTTTTTAAGCTTAACTAATTAATCATATGCCTTCAATCCGATTAAATTTCTTGCCTTCGATTGCTGTGATCCGAGTTTTGGGTAGCGACTATCAAATAGCACCATTGAGTTATTTATCTATGAGTTCTGCAAAAGGTATTATGCCACCTGTTTCCTTGAGCACTGGCAGTATATTTTTAGTGTACAATTATACTCTCGATTCTGAAAACGCGCTTATTGTGTTGATAGGAAAGAGGTCTCTATGCTGACAGTGTCTACTCTGACTACTGTTTTAACCTTTTGGCTGCATTCAAATCCCATACTTTGTCCCAAAACGATACGACCTTCACAAATGATAGGAAACAGCTGACCCTGACTGAATCAAATACCTCAACCGATTTGATCCATCGTGCTTGTTTGGTTGCTTCGTGGATCATATCACTGGACTACCGATACAGGGTGGGTGGTTATGCTCCCTAAGCTTATTGCTGTTTACTGAACTCCAAAACTTCAAAACAAGCAAAAGGGGCGTTATTCTGCGCATTATAATCCTGTAAAGCCATGTTGTGGTTGCAGTTTGGGTTATGTTACTTTCTTTATACCTATGATTAGACTGCACAATTTCTGGCAAAAGTCACTCCGATGCCCTGGCCCGACCAACTCCATGCAGTTGTGGATTCCGTTTTTGCTGACTGTAGTTTGAGTTGTTGTGAAAGTATGTACACAGCCGTACGGGTCCTTTCACGTCAATCCAATAGAGCAAAAGCCAACAGCATTCTTTCTTCGTGAGTTCACTTCTTTTATGTTCTCTTATCATGAGCAAAGCGTTATGGGAAACATGCCTATTCCTAATTTGAGCTGTCAATCCCTTTATATTCTGTGAGTTGTTTTGATCATTCGTTGCTACTTATTAGCAGAAATGTTATCAGTTCTTAATGGCAGTAAAGCTATATTTACATGATTAGGTATGGAGTTGAGTTAGACACTCGCCCCGGCTTTGGTCTGGCTCGCAGTCTAAGTGGCCTCTTGTTGCATGCTTCACCAGCCTGGGTAACTATCCCAAGCCTGGGACTGTCATTGTCGCGTTCCCTTCGCACCCGCCAAGAGGTGCTAGCAGCCGCGCTTCAAGTGGCACAACTTCTCGCGATGCCGAGCCAATGCTCTCCCGACCCTCCTGTCACTGCTTCCCATGCACTCGCTGTTGTCCACCTCCGTCTTGCTCTCCACCAAACTATTCTTTGTCCCATCGACCACCTTGACGTTCACCAGCGCGTTCACTATCTCTTATCGACGGTGTTTGAAGAAGTACTAGCTCTCGAGCAAGCTGGTGGTCAGAGTTTCGTGGAGTCTCTGTTTGCTGAGGCTCTCAACGACCTTGTGGCGTTATGGGACGTCACTCGCTGTGGCTCTGAGTGTGTATGTCGAATTTGCGGAACCTTACGTTTTTTTTTATTCAATATTGTTCCCTGTGTCTTTTCTTGTCTTCCAGTATGATCACCTGTTTACCATAATTGATAATGGGACCTGCTGTGAATTAGTAAAAGCATTTAAATGTGCACTGTTTTTGGAAAAATGAAATGTGAAAGAAATCAACCGAACGAGCTTTTATTGTTCATTTTTCTTGTGATGACTTGGGATATGTATGGACTGAAAATATTCGCAACGTGATGGAATTTAATTTAACAATGACGGTATGAATCATGGTTAGGCGTTCCCTTTACTTTAATGCGCTTTAGCAAGCAGTAAATGGTGAATTGGTAAGCTCTTATGTCCCATTTTGCTAAGAGGCATTTTCTCGTCTCTCGGCTTCTTGACGATAAGTTGAGATGCAGGTTCTCGAAATGTGTTCCATGGTGCTCCTTGGTGATTATGCTTTATGTACGTTTTGAAGGCCACCCTGTACCTTGAGGTGTTTGCGTGCTTCGCTTTGAAGACAATCGGACTTTGCAGCCCTCACTCATCTGTTGGAAGAGAAGCAGCGCATTGGCTTAAATACGTTCAACTGGAACAGAAAATACTCCAACATTTGAGGATATGCGAAGGCAACAACGATGCCTCCATCTTGCATTACCTTTCCATACCAGGCGGTTCGGACAAGGCAATACTGCGATCTGCCTTTAAACACTCTTCCAGCGATGGTCCTTTTGATCCCCAAAGCGTCGCGCTCTTCAATCTTCTCCTGCAGTGGACCCAAACAAAGCATTTTGAACAATTGGAAGAAGCCGATGTTGATATTCTCCTTGTTGAGACATGGCTAACCGATAAGCTCCCTATTAAGACTGTTGTCATGGTGATGGAGCAACTTCTCGAACGCCTAAATAAGTTTGAAGGAAGTGTGGTAACTCCTAGCATAGCACATCGGTTTGTCGTCAGTAAGCTCATACCATTCGTCGCTACTTTGGAAGTTGGGTCGCAATTTGACAAAGTGGCCATTTTGGTGGAGTGCGCCCGTGGTCTTCTTGACCGAGCATTCAATAGAGGTAATTTTTTTTGTCTTAGAGGATGTTCTATGGTGATAGTTAGGATAGACAAATTTTAATTTAACAATTCAATTCAATTTCAACATTCATTGCC